GAGGTCAAAGATAATTTCCCAATTCTAAGGGAAAATGTCATATATCAAATAAAAAATGAGAAATAGTATGTGCTTTTATGAATTTAGTGTAACTTTAGTAAAACCTATTTCTTCTCAAAATTGTTTGAAAATATAATGCTTACAATTTATGCTTGCCCCACAATCTTACTTGTAAAATACAAGCCATTAGTCACAGACTCACATGTGCACACACACACATACACACACAGCTCATCTTTCTTTCCTATAAAAGAGAAGAGGACATCATGTGTGCACACGTTCTGTGTTAAATAGCTGCACTATGCAAGACCTTCAAGATAGTTTGCAGGGGTACATGTTTCTGAATCGCACTTAAAAAAACATATGGCATGTTCTTCAGCAAGGATTATTCAAATGAAGGGGAGTTTAATCCATTCTCAAATGAAAATGCCAATTTCTGCATTAATTCTTGACCTCTTTGAGTCAATTTTTATAGTCTCCTAAATATAGCAACCACAAAAGGGAGGGCATGTCAATTATGTACCAGACACACAGTGCGTGGGGCCATGGAAATGTTTCACTTCATCTAATTATACTCTCTAGGTTTTCTATTGCTGAACTAATTGAACAGTTTAACAAGTCCTTTCCAACACAACACGATGCCTCAGGATGGGAAATGAAAAAAAAGGGCCCTTTTATAGGCCCTTGCTACTGCAAAAGACTTATAAAAGAAGCCTGGAAGTCAACAGGTCCCTGATAACTAAGATTATTTTTGATACAAAACTGAAAGTAGCAAGTAAAATATTCTTAAAAAATGAATGCAGATAATGCAAGCATGTTAGTGACTAGAAAATATAAACGCAATCAAAAGCATCCTCTGTCAGATCTAGTGTCCACAACAGAGACTTTTCAAAGGCCAGCAAACCTGCCTGTCCTCCTATATTCTTTATTTATGTTGATGGTACCAGTCACCTTTCCAGTTTTCTTCTCCCCTTGTTTAGAGTTCTTCTAATGGAAAAATTAAAAAAACGAATCCCTATTAAGTCACTTATCTGACCGCCTTTTTCCGGTCCCACTGCTGCAAGACACATTTAAGCACATGTCAGCCTCTGCCTAGAACCAGAGCACTAGGTCTTCAAATCTTCATTATTACAGCTTTTACCTCCTTCCTATACATGATACTAACCTTAGTAAATTATTCCTTAGGTCTGTTTGTCCCAGGGTATAATCTTTCTCATGATCTTTCTATGACCCCCTCACAAATGACTGAGCACCTTAGCCAAGAATCTCTTCTGGCAGGAAGTACTAAACCAGTCTTCACAGAGAAGCAACATTAAGTGAAGGAGGTAAGATTTTGACACTTAAGAATATGAATATAAGCTATAAAATCCAGTGCAAAGAAGAAATGGGAAAATATAATTGACAAGTGGAGGACAAAGGGTAGGGTTATTTAGTTTAAAAAAGAGATTTCAGGGCCTCCCCGGTGGCACAGCGGTTGAGAGCTGGGTTGCGAAGCTGCCCGCAATCCCCGGCTGCTCCCCGGCCACCGGAGGAGGGTCCCACATGGCGCGCAGACCTCTCCTGCCGCCCACTGCTCCCCTCAGCAGTGTACTTCGGTCCTTCTGCCTGCTCTGCTCCCTGCTCTGGCTCTGGTGAATTCTCTCACCCTCCCGTGCTTCTGACTGTACCCAGTGCTTGTATAAATAAATAAATAAATCTTTAAAAAAAAAAAAAAAAAAAGAGAGCTTTCATGGAGACCTCTTCATAAGTTGGAAGAACTCACTCACTGAAGCATTCAACAATTTTATTTTGAGAGTCTATTCTATAGACATGACAAGATGCTAGGCATTTCTGTACATATAAACACATATACTCTCAAAAGTTGTTATGTTTATTCATGACTACAACATAAGGCAAAGTATGATGTGTTCATAGAAGTTATACAACATTTAACAGGCATGAGTTCAGAAAAGGTAGAGATGATACTCTTCTGGGTATCTTTTTTGTTGAAATACAGAGTTAAAATGACATGTGATATAAGATCATACTTAAAAATAGTCCAGAGTGTTTTGAGCATTCAGAAAAAGGCAAGATCTTTTCTTGACAGGATGACAAAATATCTTTGTGGAGAACACTGTTCTGGAATTCAGCTTCAAAAGGAGAATAATTTCCACAGACAAAGAGTAGAGAAAAGCATGTTTAGACAAAGAGAAAATTGTGATCCAAACCATTAAGGAGGAAGGAACAATGAATACTGCAAAAGATTAGAAAATGTGGCAGACACACGGCATGCGAAGAAGGATGAGGACAAAAACAGTGAAGACAAAAACTACAAAATTAAACCTGACCACCTACCTAAAGATACGTTCCATCCCTCTTACAATCCATTCCATTTTTTAATATCTGTGAATATCAGACATATGATGGAGCTTTCAGTCATCTGGGAAAGATAATCTTACAGGCAATAATAGTAAATTGTCATATGTGCTATAGTAGTGAAAATGCAAGGTGATTTGCAATGCAGAACAGGAAAAGGAAAAACTCTGATGGAGAATTCCAAGCTAGATCTCAGGGATAACTAAGCATGTCAACCAGGTGGGAAAATGAGATTTTTCAGACCACGTGACCAAAATAAGCAAAAGCCTGAAGGCAGAGGGCAAGATTTGTTCCAGAAACTGAACAAGTCAAACTGAACTGGAATTTAGACTAAAAGGAGTATATAAAGGAAATAAAAAGAACAAGTCGGAAAGCAGATCTTAAATTATTTTTATAAGCCACATTAAAGAATTTATAATTGTAAGGAATAAAATTTTAGGCATTATTAAGAAGCCATTGAAAAGTTTAAAGTCATGACCAGATCATATTCTTACTTTACAGAATCACTCCAAGTTCCCTAGGAGGAAGTTTTGGAGTGGGGCAACAGCTGAGAAAGGTAGACAAGTCAGAAACCCAGTGTGACTATCCAGTTCAAAGGTATCTTTCTAGTCTCTGGGAGTAATAGCAGAGAAAGAAGGAGATTGATATATTCTAAAGAGAGTTGTGAAGAGAGATGGGGTCTGGTTCTAAGTATGAGATATTCTTTGAAGTATATGTAACAGAAATCATAGGAGATAATAAAATGATCTGAGAAATAACTGAGTCTATTCAAAGGAAATATGGTTTGGGCAATAAGATCTTTTGAGAAACACCAACACTTAATCAAAGGACAGCAGACTATGCTAGCTAAAAGAGAATGAAAAGAAAACTATAGGAGCATGTAGTCTCAGAAGTCAAAGTAAGAGAATATTTCAATAAAGAGTGGTCAGTATTGTCAAGTGCTACTCAGAGAAGGAAAAGTACCATGAGAATTAGCAACGTGAACAGCCTATGGATCTTGGCAAGAACAATGTTCAGGAGAATGGTAAGAATGGTGGAAACTGAAGCCATTCTGCAGCTGGAGGAGGAATAACCGAAAGTGTGTATACACTGTTCTTCCACAGAATATGTTGATGAAATAGAGGAGAAAAAAAGGGGGGGGGTTGTAGCTAGGGAAAAAAATCCAAGAATGTTATTTTTGTCCAAGCAGCAGTGAGTGTATTTAGTACAATAGGAAAAATGAGTAGCTATGTCAAACTTGAGAGTACTGTAGCAGTGGGGTATTCAAAGGTAAAAAGGAATAAGATGCAAGGCACTAATTAATCTTCAAAGGAGAAAGAGCACATATTCATCGTAACTGCATGGTGGGGCAAAAGGATAAGCGAGATGACAAGTAAATGTCTAGGTTCAATAGCAGATTGTTTAGTGAGAGCTCTGTTGGATTCTATTTTCCATTAGATAAAAGAAGCAAATCACTTCTAAGTGAGCAGAACTTAGAAGACTAAAGAATGGAAGGCTAACTAGAACAGCATAGTTGGACTGGTGTATCTTTGAAAGCTCATGTGAGGGTGGAGTTCCTGACCTTTTGGAGCATAATCTGTACAGTTGTGATCTCTTTCAACCATTCTCAGCAGCTTCTGTTCAGCTATAAGACAGAAATATGGATTTAACCAGAGTTATAGATTTAACATGAATGACTAAACATCATAGTGATTAAACATTCCATGTGGTATTGAATAAATAAGCTGTCGCTGTGGTACATGAAGAAAAGAGGAAACTCATACTAATTTAGGTAAATAATGTCACCTGAGATTTAAAAAAAAGTTCCTTCAGAAAATCTCAGTGTCTTAATACAATAGATTGTTTTTCACTTACATCAAGTTCACAGACAAGCAGAAGACAATCTTCCACATGGTGATTCAGGCCCAGGTTCTTCTGTGTAGTCTCCCTTTTACTCCAAGACTTTGGGGTTCTTTGATGGATCTTCTGCATCCAACTGGCAGATGGGGTAGGAAAAGAACATGGAAGACTGTGGGGTTTAATGTACCAGATCTGGAAGTATCACTCATGACGCTCACCCATCTCCATTGGATTGTCATGTGGACACAGCGAGACGGTTTTGTGAAGCATCTCCACCTGACCTTCATAGTGGCACAGAGTCAAGTTAGTAGACTTTGCAATAACCTAAACATAAGCAAACAAACAACAAAAGATAAAGTTCTGACCTTTCCCCCAACATGTCCCATCTCCTTTTACATGCTTCAATTATTTTTCATGGCACATGTAACTTTCTAACATACTAAGTAATTTATTAACTTGATATTGTCTTTCTCTTTCCACTATAACGTAAGTAAATGGAAGGCAGAGGTTTTCTTTCTTTTTTTTTCTTTTTTTCCCCAGTGCTCTTTCCTCAGTGCCAAAAGCAGTTATGGCATATGGGGTCATTGAATTATCATTTGTTGAATGATTGAAGGCAGTGAGATTAATAACCTCCAGTCAAGTCAAAATGTGAAATACATGCTGGTTTAGCCGTGGAAAGGGAAAGAAGACTCAAACACCATGACAGAGAATTGAGGCTGGATATCTGCAAGAACAGTAGACCCAGGAGAAATATTTTATCTGTGGAGTGAGAAATGATGTCTGGTTTTAGAAATATCATAATAGAGATGAAGGTAAAATATGAAGGTGAATATATTCAGCAAGGCATTAAAAATGTAGAACCTGGTTTTAGCCCAAACATTCAGATTTGCAGTCTCAGGATGAGAATATTGAAAGGTAGTAGCAGCGTTCCTACCCACCTGTGTCTGTGCAAGTGTTTTTCTCCACCATCCTCCTCCCTTTACAAAGCAGCAGAGGCAGCTGCCCTCCTAAGGCTGTCGCCTGTGACTGTGCAGGCCTTTCTTGTAAGCAATCTGTCCCTTTTGGGGGCAGTTATTTCTGCCCGCTTGTATCTGCACAAGTGTCCTTCATTCTCTCCCTTTTTATAATAAACCTCCCCTGGGCCTCCCCGGTGGCGCAGCGGTTGAACGCTGGGTTGCGAAGCTGCCCGCTGCCTCTGCAGCGCCAGTTCGATCCCCGGCTGCTCCCCGGCTGCTCCCCGGCTGCTCCCCGGCCACCGGAGGAGGGTCCCACATGGCGCACAGACCTCTCCTGCCGCCCGCTGCTCCCCTCAGCAGTGTACTTCGGTCCTTCTGCCTGCTCTGCTCCCCGCTCTGGCTCTGGTGAATTTTCTCGCCCTCCCGCGCTTCTGACTGTACCCAGTGCTTGTATAAATAAATTTTAAATAAATAAATAAATAAATATAATAAACCTCCCCTTTTGAATATTAAAAAAAAAAGACTGAAAGTTATTCAAAGGGTAATGAAATTTTGCATAGCCAAAATTACATGATCTAATAGATGTTTAAGGATAATGAATCTGGTGGCTTCCTCTTGGGCAGAATAACAATATCACAACTTAATTCTACAAAAAAAAAAACCTAAATGTATCAGTTGTTATAACTGTCATATAAACTGTCATAATAATGCTGAAGTTAATGAGGACATTAAAAAAATTCTCATAAGGAAAATATTTCCTGCATCAATTAAATCAATATCAGGGTATTTATAAAAAGTATACTATCTACACAAAAGAAATCTAATATGTGTTCTCTCATGGTTCTCCTGTTGAAAATTGATCAGTATCTATGCCCTTTTTTGGTGACTCTGGATAGAAACAGGCCTACCCCTCAAGAAATCCTGAATTGAACTGTTCCTTGATCAGACCATGGAAGAACAAATCATCTTTTTATTATTCTGTATCTATTTTCTTGTGAAGCAGAAAACTGACCGGTTTTTTTTCTGCATATACTATCTTCCTCATATGCATCTTACCCCCAAAGCAATAACTAAAACACTGGCAAAAATCAGAGTCAACAAATTCAAATGCTAGATAGAGGACTTAAAAATTTAAAATGAAATTTTCAGTAAACAACAATGTAAATTATTTTTAATTTCTAAATTAAAATTCTAATTCCCTTTTGGAATTTCTTGAAAATTAGCTGTTATGCAATTTAATAGGAAACATGCAGAAATTTTAATGTTATATCTACATGTAAAAAATATTTTTTAAGATTTACTTATTTGTTTATACAAGCACTGGGTACAGTCAGAAGCGCAGGAGGGTGAGAGAATTCACCAGAGCCACAGCGGGGAACAGAACAGGCATCCCGACAAAATACACTGCTGAGGGGAGCAGCAGGCGCGGCAGGAGAGGTTTGTCGCCATGTGGGACCCTCCCTAGCAGCCGAACAGTCGCGGCAGAGGCTGCCGGCAGCTTCGCAGCCCAGCGGTCAACTGCTGCGTCACCAGGGGAGGCCTTTAACAACTAGGTATTTTTAATAAATTTATTTTTTTTTAAATTTCTGTAACACTAGGATTCCCTTCTCCCTTCTCTACCCCCCAGTCAGATATGTCCCTGATAGTTCGCCCACCACCAAATCATTAGTTGTTTTTAAATAAAGGAGTTGCTAGTAGGGGCCTCCCTGGTGGCTCAGGGGTTAAAATCTCAGTGATATAAACCTACTGCCAGCCACTGTGGCATAAGTTTGATCCCAGGCCAGGGAGCTAACCACATGGTGCAGCAGACCTCTCCTGTCTCCCTTGCTGCTCTCCTCAACAATATATTTCAGTTGATCTGCCTGTTCCGCTCCCTATGCTGCCTCTGGTGAATCCTCTCACCCCCAACATCTCTGGCCAACACACAGCTCTTGTTATGCATAAATAAATAAAATAAATCTTTGAAAAAAAATAAGTTTCTAGTAGCATCTAGTAGTTTCTAATAATGACACCAATTCATGGAAGGCTTAGCATGATACTGAGCTAATACTTTCTCTTGTGTGATGTACCCTAACACAATCGTGGTCAAAATCAACTTTCCCAGCCTAGCATTAATCGTACAGAAAATTAAATCCTCCTATTTAGGTGCTATATTTTTCACTTTTATTCATATAATAATATCAACTGCCATTACACTAAAATCATCTACATGACTCCATATATTTTATCCCCATTAGAATAATATGGAATATATTGCAGTATATTTGAAAAAAAATTGAAGTAAAATCAGTTTAGTAGTTCTGAAGGCTAATTTTTATATAACATTTACATACCCAGAGACTTGCCAAAATTGACAATATGAGTTTTAGGAAATATCTGAGCCTTTAGGAAATTATATTAAATTCTAAACTTTTCAAAAAATGATTTAAATTTTTTCATTAAAAAATGAAAGTTTCCATCTATAGCCAAAATAGAAATTTTCAAATCGAGCTGATTTAGGTCGCTTACCTCGGTCTCACAGTCACCGCCGCCAAGGCCAGTCAGTCGCACGGCATCCAGCAGCTCCTGCAGGCTGAGAAGCGGGCTGCTGAGGTGTCTGAGGCTCGCAAACGAAGGACCCGGAGGCGGAAGCAGGCCAAAGAAGCAGCTCAGGCTGAAATTGAACAGCACCGCCTGCAGAGGGAAAAGGAATTCAAGGCCAAGGAAGCTGCAGCTCTGGGATCCCATGGCAGTTGCAGCACTGAAGTGGAGAAGGAGACCCAGGAGAAGATGACCATCCTCCAGACCTACTTCCTGCCAAACAGGGATGAAGAAGTTCTAGATAACCTTTTGGCCTTTGTCTGTGACATCCAGCCAGAAATCCATCAAAACTATCTCATACATGGATAATGGAAGAAGAAAGAAGTGCCTGTTCCATGGGTTGGCATTTTAGATACCATTTTAGATCCTGAAATATGAAGCTCTAGCAAGGCTTGAGTTATATTCTTCTGTAAAGGCATTAAATTATTTCCGTATATTATATAGTAGGTGCCTTCACTTTAAAAAAAAAAAAAAAAAGATTTATTTATTTATTTATTTATTTATACAAGCACTGGGTACAGTCAGAAGCGTGGGAGGGTGAGAGAATTCACCAGAGCCAGAGCAGGGAACAGAACAGGCAGACTGATGAAATACATTGCTGAGGGGAGCAGTGGGCGCTGCAAGAGAGGCCTGTCATACTATGTGGGACCCTCGTTGGTGGCCGGGTATCAAACCGATGCTGCAGAGGCTGCAGGCAGCTTCTCAGACAAGCGCTCAACTGCTGTGCCACCAGGGGAGGCCCGGTCCCTTCACTTTTTGAGGAACAGCAAATCTAGCTCCTTTGTACAGACTTAGAGCTTATCCAAAGATTTCATCTTTTTATCTCATATTTTTTTAGAAATTTAATGGATAGGCATTGTCTGTTTTCCTATGCTGTTAACTCAAGCAACATATATATCAAAACTGACTTTTTCTTTCTTAAATGTAGTTAAAAAGAAGTTTTTTTGTTTTTTGGTTTTTTTTTTTTTTAAAGAAAGAAAGGGATTAAATATTATTTTCCCTAATGCTTTCTTGAAGGTAAGGGGCTTTATCTATGAAAAAGTCGTAAATAGTTATTTGTAACCCATGTGAAGCAGCACCAAGCCTTACTGTAGTCCTTTCTGGCTAAGGCTTAGAACAATGAATAACTAGTATAATTGTTTTGCCTGCTTTTAGTTTCTCTTAGTCAAAATTACTAGAAGATAGAATCAAGAACTTGTTACATGTTATTACTTGGTGTACTCAGTCATTTAAAAGTAAAGACTCTTTGTCATGTGGGGAAAAAAAAGAAATTTTCCTTAATTATTTATTACAATGTACTAAAATAAATGAGCATGAATAATTCAATATAATTAGCTAAGTAGATTAATCAGAAGGTAAGATTAAAAATAAGGTTAAATAAAATCAGTCCTCAATGTATAAAAACTTTATTTCCAGAAGTTATCTTACTAGTCACTTATTTTGAGCACATGGTATATTATTCCATAGGGAAAGAAAGGTAAATATAATTGTCACTTGAAATAGTTTAATAATAAAAGTGTTTTTAAAACAATAACATTGAATGAGTTCTCAGACAAAAAGAAAATACAATAAAAGAAAGAGCATAAAATTGCAAATATTTTTTAGAATAATGGTTTCCTGAAAATATTGATTTAGAATCATCATCAAGAACATCAGCTACAGGGAGGCTCCCTGGTGGCACAAGGGGTTAAGCATAGCCCCATGAAGCTATCCGCAGCCTCTACAGCACCAGTTCCATCCTGCACCAGGAAGCAGCAGACCTCTCCTGTCTCACAATGAGTTCAATCCCCAGCCAGGAAGCTGCCCACATGGCACAGCAGACCTCTCCTGTCTTGCCTGCTGCTCCCCTCAGCTGTATATTTCAGTTAGTCTGTCTGTTCTGTTTCCCACTCTGTCTGGTGAATCCTTTCACACACACACACATACACACACACACACACACACACCCCACACACACACACACATGCAACTCTGGCCTGTACGCCAGTCCTTGCATGCATAAATAAATAAATCTTTAAATTAAAAAAGAGAACATTAGCTTCAGGGCCTCTCTGGTGGCACAGGGGTTAAAGTCTCAGCACTATCACCAGCCACTGCATCACGAGTTCCATCCCAGGCCAGGGAGCTAACCCACATGGAGCAGAAGACCTCTCCTGTCTTGCCTGCTGCTCACGTTCAATGGTGTATTTCAGTAGATCCCTTATTTTGCTCCCCACTCTCTCTGGTGAATGCTCTCACCTCCTGCACCTCTGGCCTACATTCTGGTTCTTGTATACATAAATAAAATAAATCTTTGGGGGAAAAATGTTAAAAAAAAAAAATGATCTATAAAGGCCACACTTTAGCTCTGTTATCAGTTGTGTTACTCTAGGCAAGTTACTAAATGTCTCTGTGTTTCATTTTCCTCATCCATAAAATGGAAACAATAATCTGCATTCTTCATAGTATTATTGAAAGGACTTGGTATTCTAACATTAACTGCAAAGCATTTAGAACAGCCCCTCGTTCACAGTAAGCTCAAAATACTATAAAGCTATTATTTTGCACACATTTCTGTTTAATATAATACAAGAACTAATAAAAGATGCTGCAAGAGTGAAAAATGTGGCAAAAAACTAGATTTTTATATTTCAAGCCAATTCTATAAGATCTTTACTGAAAGATATGAATGAAATCATATCCATTAGCCATTCTACTGCTTAGTGATTTTATACAGTCTTGTGAAGCTTTGCATTATAAAGAAAAAGAGTTAAATATGAAAACTTAAAAAGCATATGTTTCATTCCAAAATATAGCAAAACTTCAAATATGCAATGAAATTATTTCACAATGTCTTCAGAATCAAATGCATTAGAATATCTTTTATCTTCAACATATCTAGAGATTTAAGAACTCAAAAAGTTTGCAACATTATAAAAATATTATCTCAAAGCAAACTGAAAATCAATAAACCTCTCTATAGTTCTACCAAACTAACACTAAAATTAGTCTATCAATGCTAAAAAAAAAGAAAAAATGCCTTTTATTTTCTGTCAAAGGAAAAAAAAAAAGACTGCCCACATTAAAGAGATTTTACCCACTAAAGATGTGTTTGTTGTTGAAATTAAAATAGAAACAGAGCAAGAGATATAGGCAGACTCTGGCCCCAGAGACATTTTATGTTAGCTGAGTTAGTGACCAATGCAGGACTACCCTGAGACGTCCCTTCTTTTACTTTCTCCAAAGAGCGTTTTTTCCTCAAATTTTATTGATTTTTCAATCGTTTGCATAATTACACAATTTTTTGAATACCGCTTCACATCTCCACCCCCCACCAAGACTCCAGTGCTAACACCTGCCCTGGATCCCTCCTCCTCCCCACCCACCCCTCAGGAAACCGCTGTATTTTTCAGTTATTTTTATTGTGTCTTGCCAGTTTTTTTTCTTTTGTAATTTATATTCCATTAATGAGAGAAACATCCAGTAACTGCCTTTCGCTTTCCGACATTTCACACAAGATCCAGAGGCTCTTCAGGGAAGAGCGATTAACTTTTATCACTTCCAATTACACTGTGACTCCCTGCTGTCTTTTACAAAGCCAGAGGGTGGCGGTGTGGTATCATTGGTCGACATTTTCTCTGTAAATCCTCAGCAGCAAGCCATAGTTATTTTGTGGAAAAGACTCAGACCCCTTTTTGGAAAAAAGTTTTTAAATGCACTTTATTCTTCTCTTTAGTAACAGGTAAGCCCACCATTTAAGATGTTATGTCATTTTATTTTACTCTCTTATCAAGGAGAAATTTTAAACCATTAATACAGATGATTTACAGTGTGTTTTCTAAATCATTAAATGGTGGTGTTTTGTGTGTGATTTTTTTCCCTACTTCATGACAATGAAAATGAAAAGAAATGGTATATTTTATCCATACTATTCCAAATATCCACCATTTATACAGAAAGGCTTGTAACACCTCCTAACCCCAATCATTTTCAAAATATTGAAAGGCCTTTTTAAGGTTTTTAAGGTTTTACAAACCTTTTTAGAAAGTTTTTTCTAATCAAAAGTAAATTCAGTTTTAAACCTAATCCTCTCTCTAACCCTCTCGGTCCTTATTGTGTCTGTTGCTCCTATGAGTAACGTCTTGAGGTTCGCATAGTGATGCAGACATAACCTGCCCCTAACTCTCCGGAACAGCTGACCCTCTCACTCTGTGGGTGTTACTAAACCATCTCCTTGGAAGCCTGCATTTCATCTGATCGGTGCCTCAAAGAAGAAAACTGAAAACTGAATTGGTTGATATAAAGATATAAGTTGGGTCACTTTCTTCCCCTCACCCCCATCTATATTGCCATCAATATTCTCCTTTAATCTTGTAATGACCAAGGATAAAAATCACAAATAGGCAGCCCTACCTTGCCTCTTCCACCCCACTTTTAATTCTTAATAAAGACAACATAAATCAATGCAACTCTTGGAAGACCACATGCAAGTGGTCATATTATAGATGAAAAATGAAGTCTAAGAAGGAGCACACATTGGGAAGGAAGAGGTGAGATGCAACTTTGGAGTCTATCAAGGACACGTATGATCCAAGGGGCAGCCTCAGCACAGTCCACCTTCTCTCAGTGAATGATGGAGGGGAAAGAGGGACTCTTGATAGTTTGAGTGCCCCAGCTGGCACTGGCTGCCTTTCTGTCCATGCTCCAGGGAGACCCTTTGAAGCACTGGAACTCAGAGCATAGATATTCCTACCTCTTCTAAGTAAAACATGAAGCATGATGCAGGCTTCCTCCATGATCTGAAAGTAGAATGTTTATATGTGGTATGATTTGGTAGATTACTTGGGTGGTCTGAGAATGCTAATGCCACTAATTTATATTGAAAACATTTTGACTATTCCCAGAACCCCCAATAGGAGCATTCTACTTTCACAACATAGTGAGGAAAACCTATGCATGTAATTTTTGCAGTTTTGCTGCAATCCTCACCAACTACTGTCTTTAACTTATTTTAACCAATGGAAACTGTGTCTTTTCCAAACACAGTCTTATGCCAATTCCCAATATGTTAAACAAATTAACAGTATTTTAAATAAAAATTAATTTCATAAACTAAAATTTATGAAATTTACTGATCAAAAGGCAGTATGAAGGAAATAACTGTTCTAGACCAAAGACTGATGCACCCACATACCCAAATTTTATAAGTGGTTACATCATAGAATTTGAGGCAAACCATTCCTGACCTGCTTTGGTGATGCTCTACTTCCCTAAGAGACTAAAACAAAAATAAAACAAACAAAAAAGTGATTCCCATTGAAGCAAGTGGT